GCAGGAAGAAACACTAGGAACCAGCTGATCACCAGGAAATCAAATGCATGTTAACCAGGCAACTGGAGCTGCTCAAGCCACTCTCTCAGGCTGTCTTTCCACTTGCCTTGCCAGGCACAAGCAAGTGAACACAGCACAAACTAAATTGCTCTGTTTTTACTTCAGTCTTGTTTCATGTACCCACGAAGAAATACATCCTCCTTAATGCTTATACAGAAATACTTAATGTGACAGATCTGCAGAGTTTCTGTATCCATGCATTTTGGCACCTCAAGAACAAATTCAAGTTAGTTTCATCGAGTAATGAGAAAGCTGTAAATAAAATGATAGAAAACCATGTTACAACAAAATGCAGAATTAAGATCCGAGTAAAATACACTTAGATGCACCCAGCAGCCAATCAGAATGACAAATTCTGCGTGGTTTCAAAGTAAAGAATTTTAATGAAGTCTTAAAGCTTAGATACAGAAATAGAGTTGCAGGCAACCAAGGGTTCACTTCCAAACGTCCAAGATTTCCAGGTAATGCCACCAATATCTAAGTTTCTAAGGCTGTAACTGAGAAGATGAAGTTTGCTTAAAGCTTTTTTCTGCTTTGCCTTTTTTTTTTTTAATAAGGATACAATTTTCCCAAAGTTCTTTTACATTCAACTCTTTATTTTCAAGCTATGTTTCCTTTGTTTTTTACTCTTTATTTTCAAGCTATGTTTCTTTTGTTTTTCTTTGTTTCTTATCCTACGAGCATATTTTTAAAAAATGGGAAACAATAACACGTGAAGACGTTACAGTTGCTTCTCCTGACTGTTGTTTCTCCTGTAACTGGACGTTACAGTTGTTTTCTCTTTGCCTGCTAGTCAGGTGAGGAGTCTGGAGTTTGTACACATACAAATGGAGCACTTTGGAAGGTGAGATCCTTTCTCCCCCCCCCCCCCCCCCCGTAATTAGCTGTCAGTTTCACCATGGACATTTTCCATGTGCACTTTGAGGTAGTCATTCCTTGTGAACTTCTTGTGGCAAAGCTGGCATTCTGCCATCGGCCGATTGGGGTTGTGAGTCAGCTTGTGGCGGATCAGCATCTTCTTCAGGCTGAAGGACAGATCACAAACCTAAGGCAGTGAAGACAAGACAAAAGACGACTTAAAACTTTAAGCACATATAAAGCTCCTTAGGGTTACATCACTGAGGCCACAGCCACACATACCTGCTACAGTTAAGAAATGAGCTGGTCTTTGAAAGAATAACTCCTTCAGAGAGCACCTTAAAGATTATTACTGTGTCTGGAACCTTTCAATGTTGTACGTTATCAGTGGTATCACAGGCATGGGAGGGGGAGGAGTAAAAAGAAAAAAAAGTGAAGGAAGACCAGATCTTCAAAATATCACCACACTGAGGTGTCCCAGTTACACTGTGGGATTTTTTTTTTTTTAAACCTATTATTCTACTTGGGATGCAGCAAAAATTATGACAAAACATCACAAGTCTCTTTAATTCAACCTTAAATGAAGTATTTCCTTCCTGATGTCCAGAATGACATCTGTGGGTTCCTAAAAGATCAGTTTAAATTTCTTAGTTACAAGGAGGGAGAAGCAAGACAAAAAGAGGTGCTGAAGACTGCAAGGAAGGTTGACAATTGTTATAAAAGAAACTTCATTTTTCTAGTCTTCCTCTGCCTGGCAAGAAGACATCTTGCACATGAAGGTGCAATTCCTTTGCTATATGGTCTGGTGGGATACTTCCCTTCTTCCACTGTACTCCAAACAGTCCAGTTCATTCTGCCATTTGAATAAATGGATAGAGGGATGAGGGACTCTGGCATGCTAAAACCATCACTTCTCATAAAAATTCCTGTACTAACGTCAAAATAAAAGGTTAAGAACAAGTAAAACCAAGAAAAGTTAAGAGTAAAAAAGTTAAGAATCTGTAGGCAAGACACCAAGTCAATTGAAATCATGCAGTTAGATTGTCACATCCACCTTCCATCCAGGTACATACTGATGCATGAATTTTACAGAAAAAATAAAAAAAATTAGAAAGCATTCTCCTGATTTGACAAGTGAAATAGGCAAAAATAATATAATTTAATAAGAATTAACATCCATAGGTTTGCAATCTTAGAATTCCAGGTTCATTACAGATAAAAACATCTTGCATGCAGAAGAAACTTGGGGAACCCAGCACAGCCCCTCTTTAGGAAAATGAAGTTTTAAATTCATATTGGTATCAAACTAGTAATGAAAATGCTAAGCGATTACCAGTTCCTTTTGAAACCAGGACAGATCAATAGAGCTGACTATCCAAGTAGATAATCTTGACCCGCAGCATAGGTATTTTATGCCAATTAAGGCAAAACCATACAATGACCAAAAAAAAGGCCATTGCCAGAGGCAAGTTTGGGACCTAGGATTATTTATCCTCAGACAAGAACACTGTATGTGCTGTTGCAATGGAACATTTTTGAATTTATGACATGATGTAATACCAACGACTTTTATGCAGCAACTGTAACTCTGCAACTTTTTTCCCCCTCAATGCATAATTAGCTCTTTCAGACCTAAGCAACAGTCACCCTTTTGTTATGTGACAGCGAGCATCACCTACCGCCTCCACTGGTCAGGTCTTAATACTGCTTCTGCCAAATGCAAATTCCTCTTCCTCAGAACAAAATGAACTCTTAAAATTTCTCTCATCATAACCGTCATGCTTGATCACAAGTCTCAACACTTTAAAAGTATCATATACTTGTAAACAATGTGTTTCTTGGAAGCCAGGAAGCCAATCAAGGACATACAAGATATGTATGTGTTCTATCTATCTTACACACATCTCTTCATTTTTCAAGTAAACAGCTTCTAACAGAGTCTTAAAAGACATTTTTTTCCATTTGTAATGCTCATGTAATTATTACAATGTGTCCTGCTGTTTTTTCAAGGCTCTGGCACGTTCTGCTATTTAACTTCCTCAAAAAAAACATGGAATGTACAGGACCATGAAAGACATGATACATCTTGTGCCTTCATTAGGCATTAAAGTTTCGTGCCTTTTTTTTTTTTTAAAAAAAGTTTGCTTCATTTTATCCATTTGCTTCATTCTGTTTTATAAGACTGACATTTTGTAGATTTATAGCCATGCTCACTATGTGCACTTGAACTCCAATCAATCTCTTCAAAACGATCAAAGTTTTGAGCGAGTAGGGAGGATGGCAAAGACTGACAAGTGAAAGTAAGTGTAGGGTCAGCTAAAGGCAGAGTGGAGAGAAATACTGTACTGGAAAGAAACCAGGACAGGCATTACTTGACCTTTCTACCCCCAAAGAATAATCTCTTGTCTCGGAGGCAACTGAAGTTCAATTGGTTTTCCAGTAAAGAACAGGCTGGTCTTCAGAGGACAGAAATCTAATATAATAGAAAAAAAATACTCTCTTTCCACATTTCAGTTATTTCCTACGCGATGTATATTAGAATTTTCAACTTAAAACGGGAATATTCCATTTCCACTACCACCAGTGGGATGCAAGAACTTTGAGTCACTAACAGTAAGTTCTGCAAGTGCTTTTGTTGACCGATAAGACACAGAAATCATCATATAAATCAACTGTAGCACCTTGATCAAATGGGGTACAAGGATTACTTTACATGTAGCACAACCTTGTACTGTAACATATGTTCCATATGCCTAAGAGAGAGTGAAAGAGGAAGAGAATATAAGGTTTTTATTTCTAATTCTGGATGAAAATCCTTTCTAAATCAAAAATGCAGTAAAAACCGTGGAACATAGTAGTTTATATGGGGTGGGGAGAGGTGTGCTGACAAGTGAAGCCTATTCTTGAGCCCATAAAATACACATTTTTTTTTCCCCACTGCCCAAAGTTTTCTTTCTTCAGTTCTTTAGCACTGAAGGCAATTCCTGTTTGTAAATGTTAACAATATCAAGAAACAAAGACAATTCTGACAGTAAAAGTTAATATGTTATTTAGAAGAAAGAGCTGAATAGTTTCTGCGACTGCTTCTAATGCCAGGTACAAAATAAGACCAAACCCTCAATCCTCTAAGACTTTTTGTCTTTCAATGTGGCTTTGTGTAGGATTACATTTATGAATATACTAATCATTGAAAAAAGACCAGTTTCACTTTGAAAGGATTCTTAGTAGGTCTGGGCACTGGACTGATGTATTCTTCCAATTACTTTAGCATGTAAGGGCATACCAATAGCATGCCTTCACCCCTTCGAACATGTAACGAAAGTAGGAGGAAAAAATGCAGAAAATAGTTACAAAAACCATTACAAACACAGGAAGTCATCATGCAAAGTGTTGGAAAGAGAAACAACCTCAGAGAAGTTGACTAGAAAGGAACACGGCACAGGTACAGTGAACAATGAATGGAACAGCTATTAACTCCTTCTGTTAATGAAAGAACTAAAAGACAGTTAACTGAAATTCCACTGCAGTAGTCTGACACACACTCCCCTTCCCAAATTCTTTCCCCAGTCAAGAATTTGTGGAAGTTGTTGCCATAAATTAAATTACCACCCAGGTCATTGTAAGAAAAATAATGAGAGTATCTACAGTAATACTGAGCAAGATAAAAAAAATTGTGGTAAGAATGTATAAAAAGCATTCCTTAGTATTGGGAAGCCAACAACAAATCTCTCCCAGAAGTATACGTTCCTGTAACTGTTCACTACTGGTTTTCCTGTGTCACTTCTGCTGAAACATCTGGTAACATGCAATGTGTAAGACAGCTCTGGAGGATTTAGGGGTGTGAGATAAACAGTAGTTTAGAAGCCAGCAAACTGCCATGTGCAGCTGGCAAAAGACTAGTGCTGAGTAACTTTGGCGAAACGTGGCAGTAAAGTATAAAACAAATTCTCCAGTAGATGAAAGTGCATAAAAATTCTCAGAGAAAGACTAGACACAGATAACAGCTGTTTCTAGAAGCACTATGATTTGGCAAAATACATTTCTATTTAATTAATAAGGAAAACAAGGAATAGTTGAAACATTAATGTTTTCATACAACTCTTATTTTCAGTTAAAGAAAGAAAAAAGAATAAAACATAAGCACCACCCCAAACTGTTGTGAAAAAGCACACTGTGAATCCAAGATGAGTCAATCTTGGATCCATAGTGTGGGAAAAATTGCATTTATACTGCAAGCTAGCCAACAGCTGATAAACACTAAAGCAATCTGAAAGCTGAAAAAGTTATTGACAATGATTTGGAATTAGAGAAATCCTCGAGGTACCATCTAGAGCCAGGCTGAGATTATCCCAGAAGAAAACAGCAAAACTCATGACTTGCAGACATCAGCAAAATATTGTAGCTGAAAGTTTCACTAAATTATTACTATTCTCACTGAAATGTCACCAGATTTACTAAAAGCCAGATCAGTCAACAGACCCTTGTGACTTTCATGCCAAGTGGTTATTCTGATTTTGCATCTAACTTTAGAAATTTGTTAGCAAGTGTACAGCTTTTCAGACTGAGCCATGTAGGATGTAACTAAAAGCTGGCAGATCCCTTGTGACAGTTCTGTAAGAGCTAGTATCACAAAACATAACTACTAATTCTATACCTCATTCTGATGCCCTTCTCAACCCTCAAGCAAAAACTTAAGCTCTGGCATTTGATAGTTTTCAAACACATTCTTTTTCAACAGTTTCTGCATATACAGCCTTCCCTACCTACCTCACAAAAGCTATAAGACATGTTGTACATAGGATGGGGTATGCTGAATGAAAGGCACTTGACAGTGATCTATGAACTGTAATAAGATATGCTGCATTTCAGTGCTTCAAGCAGACACAGTATCCATGACTGCTTCACTGAACAATAAATAAAAAAAAAAACACACCAACCTATGAACAGATGTTGAAAATATCAGAACAGATTTCACTACACAGAAACTGGAAACTCTGACTTCATATTTGCGTCATTCAACAACATCAGAACCGTTCAGATTCTGTGTAATGAATTATGTACCTTTTCCTGTATAAGCTAATCTTCAACTATTAGCCTGTCATACAACCTAAACGGGAACCCAATCGACATAAATTTTTAAGTTGCAGCATCCCAACTGCATTAATAGTGGTGAAAATAACCCTTAAGGGATCCAAAACCATAAACTTTAAGGGTGTGCAACGCTCTTGGCAACCAGGGAGGGTACAGAGAATTCCCCGAATGGCCTTTCCTTAGTTAGGCAATCAAAGACTGTCTGAAGTGTAACTTTATGCCACAGCCAAGGCCGCAGCCTCCCTGCAGTGAAGTCCTGCTGTTGCAAGGGAGTCAAGAAGACAAAGGGACAGATGAACTCACGTCACACTGGAAGGGCTTCTCCCCGGTGTGCGTTCGCATGTGCTCGTCCAGGCCCCGCTTCTGACTGAAAGCCTTGTTACACTCCGAGCACTGGTAGGGCTTCTCCTGTGTGGAACGACAACAGTGAGCCAAAGTGAGTGGAAGTGAGTCAGTGCAGAGCCCCGGTCATTAAAGGAGTGGAATTCCATGCTGGATGGTGTAAGTTTTATATTCTCTCTAAGGGATTACCGTCAGTGAAAGCAACAGAAAATGACTTCCAAATGATTAAGTGAAAGCTGGGAAAACTGTGGCCTGACAGTTTCCACTTCAACACCCACTTACAAATTAATTATCTGTTCCAGTCTTTCAAACTCAGCCATTTTGGGAGTCTGTTTTTTGTAATGTGAAAGGTACAGAAACATAAAATTTCAATTTACTTTCCTTTATCCTCCACAAAAGCATAAAGACAAGTAAGACATCTATGAAAACCTCATTTGCTAGCAGGTTTCCAGGGAGGGGAAGAGGTGAGGAGAGGAAGAATGGGTACAAGGAAACCTTGCAGTACAGGGCAGGAAAACAAACAACAACAACCCACCACAATAAAACCACACAAAAAAACACATTTTATTTTGGAAAGTCGTGACAGAATGTTAATCACATATTCACTGAAGAATCTCAAAAGAAGTGCAGATGTCAACCAAGCCATCTGTATTTTTATTAGAACTATTGGTTAGCAGCTACTGTAACATCTTGTTATAAAAGTTGCAAGCTCATCAACCTCAAATAAATAGAGATATGTATGGAAAATCAGTTATATAAAGGATTTCTTTGAAGTTCCTCCTCAATATAGCAACTTACATAATGTGTAATTCCTCCTTCATTCCACTGTTACAAAAAGAACCATAGAAAAACAATGTTTAAATAGATCAACGAAATGTAAAGGTTACTATTATATGGCATTGCACATTGTATTGCCGTATCAAAATTTCAGTGCTCTCAAGGCACCTTCATTTTTTCAATCAAACAATTACACTTCTTTCATTCTGCTTTTTTCTGTGGTCCTGAATTCTGTGCTGCTTCAAGTTTTAAAGATGGATATTTTAGGCAACAAAGTAAACATTTTTTACTAAATTAAATCAAAACAAGTCTGAAAATCAACAGGTAATAAAAATGTTAAGTCTATGAATTAACAAATAATAGGCAATAGTCTAACAGTCTCTTGGGAGATAATACGGGATCCCAGGATAAGTGAAAAAGAGCAACTGAGCTCTTTCAACAACTTCAACTGTAGGTGTTGAAGCTACAAAGTGAAGAAATTCTCTGGTTATCGAATTGTTCATCTCAGTATGCAGGAGACAATCAGGTCTCCATACATCGCTGAATCCTGCCAGGTACTTGGCATAAACCATATACATAATACAAGGGACTGCAAATCACTGTTGTTCTGGGTACATCCCAATCTCTCTCTCTAGGGCAGCTCTTTGAAGGTCCAGAGATGTCAGGGAGGGTGAAAACTGGTACTTCATTTTGGAGTACCCTCATATGAAGTAAGTCATCAGAAAAGGCAGTACTGTAGACACACGTAATGTCAACTTGTAATATCAAAAATCCTCTAGCTCAACAAAAGCAGGGCATAAAATACATATGTAAGGAAAAGCATTTCTCCACGAATTTCAGATATGAGTAAATATTGAAATAAAATACATTTCAGTATGATGCAAGACAAATTTTTATACTGGCACAGGCTGAGTACACAGTGCTCATGGGCATGTAATCAAACTGGCTTAAAAGAAAGCCACTAATGAGCTTTTCTGTGCAAGATTCTCCTTACACGTTTATCATCTTGGTGGTTTTTTTTATCAACTTAATTTTGTAACGTCAGTATAGAGTAAAACATAACAAATTACCTAAAAACATCTGAGCTGATCTTGAAAAAAATAATTTCAACCAAAAACTTCATGTCATGGGGAATTTTGCTAGACTAACTAAAGACTTCATGGAGCAGGTCTGTAATTTTTAAGGAAATGTACAAATAAACCATATGAAAAGCAGGTTTCGGCAACACCCACTTAATTGGTTTGGCATTGTGGTTAACATAAACCACATTTTCTGTGAGTTCTCTGAACACAGCCTTTCTCTGTGTAGGTTGTTCCACAGAAATTGCAAAGTAAAGTATATGAAACATACATCTCAAACACCTATCAAAATGTTCATTATTGCAAACTGCACTAGGTATACTTGCTCCCTTTTTATCATCTCGTTCTTCAGGTATCTGGAGTTCACTTGATAATGATTATCTTACTCATTTCAGACTGAAGTGGACTTTGGTATCTCATTTAGGCAAAAGAGCCAGTATAAACTCTGGGAAGCTAAAGTCACAAAGCAGGGCAATATGTGTTTATATTTGGCTATTTGTATTATTATCTAGGGGAAAAATGGGTATATCCATCAAAAAAAGAGGAATAACCATCCCCTTGGCATTTGTATTCAAATTCACATATGTAGAATTTCACACCATATGTGTGAAACACATACAAAGAGGTCTTTGATCTAATTTTTGATTCCTTACACATCTATATTCCAGTGACTTCAACAGGCAATCCCAATTCCCACCAGTCCACCCTCCCTTAAGAAAATCTGCCCTTCATTCACATCTGTGTCCATTTCAATAAAATCAGTAGTGTTGTCCAGAGTAAAACTTGGCCCTAAATTTCTCTCCAAAGAAAAAAAAGGGTTTTGTGTGTTTGGGTGGGATTTTTTTGGTTGGTTGGTTTGGGTTGTTTGGTTTTTTTTGGTTGTTCTTTTTATTTTTTGTTTGTTTGTGTGTGTGTGTGGTTATGTTGGTTGGGTTGGGTTTTTTTTGGTCAGTTTCAAAGACAGCATCATTCTCAGAGACCTATTTCTTCAAAACAAAGCATTCTGTTTTTTTCCTTTTCTCTCTCCCCCTTCTCTTTGTATCAAATTTCCATGTTACAATACTTGGAGAAGGCAACATTTGTAACATGGAAAAGACATGGACTGGGCATAACCACCACTGTTCTGAACCTGTACAGAAAGATCATCGATAAAAAGCACAGCAGTAAGTCTGAAAGTAAGTTGATGCCACTGCAAAATGACAATTAGGACCAATGATGAGATTAGAAGAAAACTGGGAAGGCAAAGGGAAAAACCTGCTTCTAACTGTCAACAAAACAAGAGGTCATTGGGAAGATGATATAAGTTTGACTTCAGGGAAGTGTGAAACTGCTAGTAGTATAAATCCACCCTCTGCTCAGAAAGCATCTGCCAGGCCAGGACTATGGTAGCAGCAAAGTCAAAGGATTCCATGCGTTTCCTTTTATTGATGATACAAATGAGGAAGGGAGCAGGGAGAGTGAGAGAGACAGGATGCAGTTGATACTGCTGTGCTTTAATAGTACATTTTGAAGTGTATCAGGTATAAACAGCAATATGTAGATCAAGATTAATAACCTTTCTGCCTCTAAACAATGATGGGCCCAGGACAGCCCAGGTATTCTGGAAGGTGCTTTGTTGTAGGACTGGTATGCTAACTTAAAAGCTTCCATCTCTGATGATTTTTCACTCACGCTAAAAACTGAGAAGAATTCAACTTTTTAACAACTATGGCAAGTAAAAGTGCCTGCAATACACACCTCACCTGCCTGTGGATATCTGAAGCATAAATTACTATCTTGGACCCTACGCAAATTGTGCTTTGCATTACAAACATATCAGAACACAACAAATTCTCAAGGCCATTGGATGCCACTTTTAAGGGATTGATAGAATATGTGTACAGAGTAGACTACAACCACTGCAGATAGAAATGCTTACATGTAGAATATTTGAACTGCTAAGTGCTGCTGTAGTCAACTATCTCCCATAAGAAATATAAATATATTATGTACATTAGCTTACCACTAGTGCATGTGGCTGCTTCTGGAAACCTGGTGAAATTGATTACACAGGTAAAACACGAATGATTTTGGTAGAAATATCTCAAAATAACTTTTAAAATGTGCATTTAGAACTGCAATGTGAGCTCAACAACAACAAAAACAATCTAGACATTACTATATTCAAATAAATCATAGCTCAAGATTTAAATAAACAAGAGTTAAGACTTTTATGAACTCTTTCCAGAGTGGCACGACAAAGTTAGAGTTGGGCTGAACCCGTACTCAGACAACCTCATTCTTTACTTGTTTGGTTAAAGTAATTTACACAACTCACAAAGTGAGTGAGCTTGTTGACTATAGAAATGTTACTAATCCTTTTTAATACTTAGGTTTTCATTGACATACAGAGTATACTTAAAATCCTACAACTACCCAGGATCTCATCTCTCATGCTTTTTTTTTTTTTTTCTATCTACTGAATTCAGATCACTCAGTTCAGAATTTTACATATTGCATATCTCTTCTTGTGAACATATTCATACATCTATGCACATATGAGCATTACTAGCATCTCAGGGGAAGACATATTGACCACGTTAAGTTGCAGGTGACTCCTCCCTGGAAGCATTCAAGGACAGGCTGGATGGGGCTTTGAGCAACTTGGTCTAGTGGAAGGCATCTCCCATCCATGGCAGAGGGGTTGGAAGTAGATGATCATTAAGGTGCCTTCCAACTCAAACCATTCTACAACTACATGCCTGTCAAACTACATTCAGAGGAGCTCTTCAGCCAGTTGTACACAGCACATATCAAAAAATGGTGACCAGAACAGGTATCAACCTGTCAAAAAAAGCCCATTTGAATAGGAACTAAAGTTCAAGACTACAACAGCCTGAAAATCATGATCTCAGGGGCCTGGAAAAGAGTTCAATCAGAGGCAGCCTACCACAGGGTTCATGATGCAGACCCATAGGCAACCCACAATCCACTTTGCAGCCTCACTAACAGCAAACTTCTACCAAAAGTTATGCAGAACAGCGATGAATGAGTAACAGAGGTCTCAGGGAATTGGAGGGGTCTTTCTGCTTGGTCTAGAAACTCCTCACAGATAGTGTCAACTCATGCTGAGAGCCAGGCCAAGCGAGACATTCTTTACAAGAAACCCTGTTAGACAGCAGCTGTGGTAATAGACCTTTGAGCCTCAGCAAATTCCAGTGTCACAGCACA